CCGTTACTTTTGGTGTGATTCGCGCGTAGCTTTGTCGTGGATTCGTAGTGATGCACGTAACTATAAAGCATTCGTCGCGAATCGGGTCGGAGAGATTTCAGAATCAACCTTACTGCGCGAATGGCGTTGGGTACCGTCCGATCTTAATGTAGCAGATGACGCCACTCGCGTGAGTTCTAAAAGTGTGGTTGAACTTGACAGATGGTTGAACGGACCGTCCTTTTTGATGTCACCTGAAGAGGAATGGCCAGTAGAGCCCGAAGGGCCGGTCCCCGTTATTGGTCAGGACCTCAAGTGTCATCAAACTTCTTTGGCAGATTTTCGGCTTCATTTTAATGTTGTTCCAAATTCTAAAAACTTTAGTAGCTGGCTGCGGCTCTTACGAGCCACGGCCAGAGCTCATCAGTTTTTACGCTTACTTAAGGAAAGTAGATTAAGATCTGTAAATAATAATGATCGTTTTCGTAATAAGGGTGGGCTACGTCCGCTTCTCTGTAAAGACATGAAGTCTGCGGAGCTTCATTTATTGCGACAATGTCAAGCGGAGACATTTTCTGCTGAGATTGCGGCCTTACAACGTAGAGAACCACTACTTAAATCCAGTAAAATTGCAAAACTTTCCATTAAGCAGACTTCAGATGGCCTTCTTCGTCTAGATGGGAGAGTATCTGCTACGCCTGATCTCTGTAGTGATGTCAAGTATCCTCCGATTTTAGATGGTCGTCACCACATCATCCACTTACTTATTCATTACTATCACGTTTGGGCTTGTCACGGATATAACGAGACTGTTGTAAATGAGTTGAGACAAAGGTTTTGGATTTTTCACTTACGTCCTACTGTTCGTTCAATCACTGCTAGATGTCAAGCATGCCGTCTGAGAAAGGCTTCATCTTCCATTCCACCTGAGGGAGATTTGCCGGTTTGCAGATTAGAACACCATCAGCATCCATTTTTAAACACCGGACTTGATTATTTTGGACCAGTTGACGTTACTATTGGAAGGAGACACGAAAAACGCTACATTGCGCTCTTTACCTGTCTTTCCATTAGAGCAGTTCATTTAGAGGTTGTTGGCAATTTGAGTGCGGATGCTGCTATAATGGCACTTAGACGTTTTATGGCACGCCGTGGAGTACCAAAGAAGATTTTTTCTGATAACGCCAAAGCATTTGTCGGTGCCAGTCGTGAAATAAGATCTATGTGGAGAACCATGAATCATACAGAAGTGGCAGAGTATGCCGTATCACGCGGCATAGAATGGAATTTTATCCCACCGCAGTCGCCTTTCATGGGTGGATGTTGGGAGAGGCTGGTTCAGTCGGTCAAGAGAGCGTTGACAGCTACGGTCAAGAGCAAATCATTTAAGGAAGAAATTCTCGTCACTCTTTTGGCCGAGGTAGAACACGTTATAAATTCACGGCCATTAACCCATGTTCCAGTTGCAGCTGATGATGAACCTGCGCTTACTCCAAACCATTTTCTCCTTGGCCGCTCTTCTGGACTGCCTGGTCCCATGTCTTTAAACGATGGAGATTTATTAGGAAGATCGCACTGGCGTAAAGCTCTAAGATTAGTAGATCACTTTTGGTCTAGATGGCTCAAAGAATATGTGCCCAGTTTGATACCACGCAGAAGCCTGAACTCTCGGCTACAATATTCCAATCTGTCAGTAGATGACATAGTCTTGATCGCTGATGCAAGTATGCCACGGGGACTTTGGCCTAAAGGCCGTATAACTAAAGTGTTTCCTGGCCATGATGGAATAGTGCGTGTAGCGGACGTAGCGACAATTGGGGGGGTTCTTAGGCGTCCCTCGCGTAAACTTATCAAGCTGAGCACTGTGTAAATAGTTTTTTGATTTAATATTTTTTGATATTTGTCTGTTATGCGTGTATGCCTGTTCTCCACGAACGTTTGTTAGTACCGAGCCTAACGGGGTGGGCAATATGTGGAGTACAGGCCACATATATTATTTATAGCTATATATTATTATTTACCAAATTCGAAATTGACACGCATATCTATTGTTTCCTTTTGGCTTGCCTTCACGGCCCTAGTCTTCTAAGTTCCTTTGACTATTATATACATATTTCCAATTTCCATTCCTGGTTTCCTTTGTCGCCCACAATACCTACTTCATAATCTCTCAAAACACGATTATCAGGCACACTTCTGTACCTATCTGCTTTAGTCAAAGAGGGTAGGGAGCACAACAGGTGACGCGGGCTGCACCCTCTATCGGAATGGGCTCGTCGATTGCGCACGTGCTCCCCTATTTTATTATTTGCATAACTAATACGATGATTTTGATACTATCATAAACATACAACATATGGCTGATTGCGAAGAGTTTACTTAATTTTTACTCTTCATTTCATTTTTCTATTAATCTATGGTCTGGGTTGTTGTCCAATACGTCTGCAATTAATCATATTGTTGTTATTGTATTAGACCTTAACTGTCCATTGTTGAACATAGCTTTCCTCATAAGGAGGGGGGGGGGGATTACCAGTAGTTGCCACGATTGGTAGGCGGCTTGGTAACCGCAGTTTGGCTTTTGATTGTTTTAAGAGCGACGCTGCTGCCCATCCCTCTACTATAAGCTCCTTTGGTCGCCTCTTACGACACCCACGGGAAAGGAAGGGGTGGTCTATTCTAAGTTAAGACTTACACTTTATTTTTAAATATATAATTTATTAATAAAATAGGTTAATATTATAAGAATAAATATACAAGTAGAACTGATTTGTTTGGCTTAGTCCTTTACAGTCGATTTCTGTTCAGTAATTATTCTTAAAGTTCCAATCTCGTATTTCTCTACTATTGTACCTAGTAGCAATTTTGTTTCGCGGTGTTAATACAACACATAGTTTAACTGATAACTAACTTTCACTCAAAACTATTGAATAACATACATCCAAACATTTCACAAACTTTCACATTTATAATATTAGTAAGGTTTTTGAAGAAACCAGCAATATGTGCGTTAGAGAAAGGAATCAGCACAATCATTGTTTCTGTTACGTTAATTTAGATATGATAGGTTAAGATGATAGACAGTGTAATTTTAATTACAAAAATCACAATAAGGGCACCTCAGGTATGACATCGCCTGATGATTGTGCAACGACAGAGACGGCACAACATATTGTGGTGTTATTCATATATAATATGTAAGATTGTTATTTGTTACGTTAGCTGGTGTCATCTGTTCAGTGTTAGTACGTAGGTATATAAAAACATTTCAACAAGTTACTTTTCGTAAAAAAAATCTCTTAAATACATTTTTATTTTCTTAGCCTGCTTACAATAAACTAATAATAACAAAGCGTCAAATGCATTCGTCTCCATTTCCCGGTACATAATATAAAGGCGGCGCCACACTCGGAGTTTAATTACCCGTATGACTGCGGGGAGTCAATTGCTTTATCGTAACGTATCATCTCGCGCAGCAGCCGAGGGCAGTTATGAATCTACATATCGTGGCACCATCTCTATGTGTCTCTAATGTACTTAGACATTAGATATTTCACTATTGAACAATTAGCCAATTGTAACTGTATCGGAATTTTCGAAATGATGTTGAAAGCATGTTTGGAATATTTGGAATCAGATAGGTAATAAATATCGGTTTATTCTAGTTTTCTAATTTGGATTTTAGATTTAATTGATTAAGTAACTACTTAACTACCATTAATGGGCAAATTAATGACTTAGATTTGACTTACCTGTTGTTCGTTGTGCTAAAATTTTTTGTATCAATATTCTTTATGGAATTCTAGCTATACCAGGGCATCATAAGGTATAACAAATTGACAAACTCACTTTAACATTCATATTAATACTTTATAAGGATAATATATACGAGAGATCAAACAATATCTTTACATTATAATTTCTCATAATATGCCAGTAGTTTGGGTGCTTTAACCATTTAATCGTAATAAGGCAGATAACGTAATGACATTTGGCCTCTTAAGCTTTTATGTAAGTAATATAGGTAAGTAGGTACTTAACATTAGCTGTAATCGACGTTTTCATTCACGTTAATTACCATAAAAACAATCTATGTGTACAAGTTTTCATTTTAGTGGATTGAGCAACAAATAGATATCTAAATATTTATACAAATTTCGATATTTATAATACTAGACGGATTGCCTATTTTTATAAAATGTATCCTTATTATAAATTTTCTATTACTTAGAAATAGGTATGCGAACAGTAAACATACTAGAGTATGTCTAGTCGTAGACGACTAGGTAGATAGTTATTGAATAAAATCAATGGCAATGATAAATGACGATGAAATGATGTGGTGAAACAATTAATAAAATAGCGCTGCTATAAACACTGCAGTCAATTGGCAGGCAATTAGATGTACCTACCAACTCGTGCACAACAGGGGTGAATTTCGTTTCACGCTCAATCAATTTCTGCGCGTGCGCCCGCAGCCATATTGCACGCGTCAGATGGTAGATGTAGCGCTGAATGATAAGAATAAATTATTTGTGAATGTGTAATTGAGAATGTTTTAATACTATTCGAATATTTTATGAGTATTTTCAAGCGTGTTGCCGTATAGTCCTGGTATAGAATAGGCCACTCCGTCCTTTCCCGTGGGTGTGGTAAAAGACGACTAAGGGAGGACGAGGGATGGTCAGCAGCGTCTCTTTCAAAACATCTCTAAAGTCTAACTGCGGTTGCCAATTCGTCTGCCAAGCGTAGTAACTACTGGCAAAATCCCCAAGGGGGAGGCTTATGTAAACATAAGCCAGTGGATAGATTTTCAAGCGACTTAAAAAAACGAGGTTCTCAATTCGATTCCACTTTTTTATAATATTTGTTACCTTCTCACTACGTCATTTGTAAACCGATTTGAAAAATTATTTCTGTATTTGAAAGGATATACTTACAGATTAGTTTTAAATCAAAATAACCGGTTGCCACAATTGAAGTCGGTTTTTTTATGGAACATAATAATTATTTGTTAACAGAACTACGTTCACGGCGTATCAACTTGAGGAACTGGAGCGAGCGTTCGAACGAGCACCTTATCCTGATGTGTTCGCGAGGGAGGAGTTGGCTCTCAAACTTAATTTGTCTGAATCACGAGTACAGGTAAATAATAAATGTATTATATGAATTATAATTCATATGACATATGAATTATAATAAACAATAATAAGTAACAGTAAAGTAACTATATGTTCAGTACATTTAAAAAATGATGTACTCTGAGATCCTGAATATGAATTTATCTGCAATTCCCGTGGGACACGGAACTTACTCACCTTTCTTCCTACGTGTCAGGAGTATGGCCCATCACCATATCTTGGATTAATCTGTTGTTAGAGAAGATTGACACTTTTTAGTATTGACTAGATTTGTACTCAAACAATTAATTTTTAGTTTACGATGCAGTCAAGTATCTATATTATTTCAGTTATAATAAACGTCAATTGTAGAAGATTAAAAAAAAATTATTGTGTATACATTAAAATACCTACAACAATGTCTTTAATTTACGTTTTAGGTATGGTTTCAAAATAGAAGAGCTAAATGGCGGAAACGAGAACCTCCTAGGAAAACAGGATACATAGGCTCCAGTTCACCCAGCTCCACTACACTGGGTGGTGGTTTCTCTGGTATCGGCGGCAACTTGCCTGCGTTCCCGCAAAACGGACTTTCAGCCCCAGCGGATTCTTGGTCTTATCAACATTCGTATGAATTGTCATCACATCATTTATTATCGTCGAGCAGTAGTGGCTACCCTGGATTTAACACGCAGCCAGCTGCGTACTCTTACACCACGGTACTAAACGGTCACGATGGACAGATGTTCGCACCTAGACATTCCTTCGAGTATGGCGAAGGTAGCCCTCCGCCGTTGGGAGTTCGAGATTACCCTATGATGGCAGCGCATTCACCTCAGATGGAGGCGCATGCTCACGATGACAAGTTGGAGTACCGAGGACACGAGCACCAGGAGAAGTATGCAGCGTGCGCTATGCAAGAGGAGCCGCCGCGGTACGCAGCACCGCCCGATGACTACGACAAGTGCGGCATGGTGCCACACGAGAAGCACTATGAGATGGAGCGGCACTCGGATCTTTCGCAACCGGTAGTTGTCAAGATGGAGCCCAGTCCTGGCCAGGCGTATACTACTCTGCCTCCTTTTTTGAATTGAAATACTCTTTTTCGAAATTATCATAGCTGAACAAAGCCAATAGATATGCGTAATTTCGAAAAGGAGTATGCATAGTTGCATAGCATAGGTGACGTATCAATATGTATTTTCATAACTTTATTCTTGCAGCTGGGATTTTATTTACGAGTAAGCAGGTAATCTTATTTTAGATAAGTGATATCACTTATAGTAACGAGTACCAACGCTAATATTACATACCTATAACATGCATTTTCTAGTAAATTGCCTACCTATACATATAACTAGAAAAATGAATTAGGTTTGTGCTTCTTATGAGGCCGTATTCTTTTATATAATGATGTTTGACTCCAATTATAGAGGACCAATTTGCAATAAGAGTGTAAATAGGTATTTAATTATTTTTTTACGTAATAGCATTAAGTAAAATACACATTAGAGTAGTAATATTTGAAATGAGATTCTTAGCTTCACGTGCATTCCTCGTGCCTTATCTATTATAGAAAATGTGCCTATTTGTCAATTTTATTAGATTATAGGTATATACAGCTTTTAATAAGTATTATATATGTATGTAGCATAAGCCTGCGTCGGCATTTAAAAACAAATACTCAACAAAGTTGTAGGTAATTATTTATTATGGTAACTAAAAAGGAAAGAGTTTGTTTTCTAAGGTTAGTAACAGAATAAATTTGCCAAAAAGTAAGTAAATATAATATCTAATTGTCTACATTAGATATTTTTCAACAATTTCTTTTGATGATTTTTGTCACTGGCTAATTAAAACTTAGATGAAAATGAATGTTACACGAAACAAAATATATTATTTTCATTTTTAAGTGTTAAGGAGTTCATTTTCTTCTAAGTTTACAAAATAAACTAGGCAAAAAGCAAGCGAATACAGGTATTCGTCTATATTAATATCTTACAACAATTTTTACTTCGTCGATTTTTGTTACTGGCAAGTTAAATCTTAGATGAAAATAGATATCACACGAAACAAATCAAATTACTATAATTTTTAAGTGTTATAATAGGTATATAAGGAGCTGATTTAGTTTTATCAATAAATACTTAGATAAAATAATAATTATATAATATGTAAGTAGCTATAAATGTAAATAATTCTTTATACGTGAATAATATGTGCCAAATATTAGAAAGATTAGTTAACAATATACTTGTAATACAGTGCCAAGAATGTAAATGTGTGCTCAGTCAAGTTGTACCGCATTTTATATTAAAGATTATCATATTTGAAGCCATATAATTTAAAACTATGTTGATCTCCATAAGTTAACCTATACGAATTTAAGTATAAACGATAAAACCAAAGAATTTAATAAAAAACTGTTTAACATGATTTGTTTTTTCTGCAAAATTATAATTAAAAAAAATATTTTCATTATAAAATATTATTGGTTTATTTTAAATAATATATTATTTGATGATTTGAAATAATAATATTGATAATTGAACGGAATATTTCACTTACTTTGATTCCACTTTATAGTACCTAGATGTAATTAATTAGATAAAACTGTAGATTGATACTTTAAATTGTGTAAGTGTTTTGGAAGCAATAAGCCAAATTGTAATATTTTTTAATAAGGAGGTAAAATAATATTACCAAAGTGCTTATTTTAAGTGTTTTAATTTAACCTTGTAATATAAATAATTATATACAAAACATACAGCAGTGCTACTGCACTTTTACGACAGCAAATATTATAAAGTGAGGGATGTAAGCTAAGGAAATATGATACACTTTTTAAAATAACTAACCATTCTTCTAACATTTACATAACAAAATAAAGTATCTCATACTAATATTTCACATGTGCCAATTAAGTTTCTACAGTCGAAAACGGCGACACAAGTTACATCATTAAATGGCATTTTAATTCGACTGAAATTGATTAAACATTGGATATGCAGTAGTTATTTTTATCAAAAAATATTCGATTATTTCTTATATGCCATTAAATATATTTTCGTTTTTCTAACAACATTATTAAATTCGTTTCCTTAGCAAAATCTTTTCCAAAATTAATTAATGACATTACCTAATTCACAGCCTTGGAGTCTAATTTAATGCCATCTTGATTGGTCCAAACACCATCACCACTGAAGTGGTATTTCTTTTCGATTTCATACAGAACCAGGCTGAGAATATGCTGATCAGAAAGCGCAGAAAATTTCAGGTTGTTGTAGCTAGCGTCTAGATGCGCATCGGGATGAAGGCCATTACGCTTCTCAAGTAATATTTCGACATAATATTTTATTTCGGATCTGGAATAAAATCATTTTGTAAATAAAGATGGCTATTTCCTGACGTAAAATCAGAACTAAATGGAATATTAGACCGTAATGGTAACCAATATTGACGGGGGTCTAATATAGAATTTTACAATGACTTTTCAAAGAGTTTTCATATCAAGCTTAATAGTTAAGATTACTTAAAAAATATTGTTGGTTGTATTAGTTTAAATGCCATGTCTGTGTTTGAGTAAACATTTTACAAATAATTACGAATATCATTACTTATCTTTACTCTTAGCGCCTTAACGACTTCACCAATTCCTATGAGAGTTGGTATACAAGTGTAGTATGGCATGGAGAAAGACTTAGGCTACTTTTTATGCAAGTCAGTGAATATATACTGGTCACGCAGACGAAGTCGCGGGTAAAAGCTAGTGTTAACATAATTTATGTAAGATAGTATTGAAAATGTTTGTGACACACAAATAGAACACTATGATAGTCTCAGAACAGAAAAAAAACAGGTTTTTTTATGAGATGATATCTGACTTGAAAGCTATAAAAACGGAACAACTGATAAATATTATATCAGTGACTATTCTATGGTTTCATTAAAAAATTTACTAATAAAATGATTAATAAATTATTTTTGATACTTACATAGGATATAGTAGTAATTGACAATGCTCGAGTATAGTTTTGTTGTCAAATTTCAACTTTAAATACTGTATGTTCTCGTCAATAACACTTAGTGCTGAATGAAGCCAATATTTGTGTTTTTTGAGTTGATTCAGTGTCGCTTTCAATGATTCGGTGCTATTAGACTTTTTGATAGATGTATTGGACTTGTTATTGTCAACTATTAATGAAGTATTTATTAAAATACTAATGTCTCGTCCGCAAACTCTGTTACCGAAACTTGTGATATAACTGTAACAAGTATTTTAAAATTCGTTAAATTTTGTAGAGAATAATAACTTGGCAAGTTTTAGGTATTTAATGGATGAAAATTGAATGGTAACTCCGCCTGCGCTATCGGTATAAGGTAGCAGGCTGATGCCCTGCTAGCTTATAGCTTAATAGGGTAATAGATGTGGATCAGTTAGACCATCGTAACAAATTCATCTAGATTTAACCACGATGGTTTCCAGAGGGAACCACGTGGACGTGATAGGGGTATATTACTAGAAGTAAGGTCGTTAGTGCCCATTACTAATAATTCTTCCCCCTCCTTCGAGCAACTTCCCAAATCTTACTACAAACACGCACAATTACGCCAGTAGGTACAAACATCAATTGTTTATGTAATAGTGATAAACAGACGCAATTTTTGTTTCATATAAACGAAATATTCATGATGCGTGTTTGTTGTGTTAAATTATCGTTATAGGTAGCATCTTTTTTTTTATTCTGGTGAGAATTTACATCTATAGGCAACTATTACTATTTTCCATCGGATTGGCCGACAATTTGACCTATTTTTGAAATTAATTTGTTTACTATTAATTTGTCCAAGTTCCAACTGTAGACACGAAAATTTACCAGAGTTTATAGCGACTTGAATATCAAAACACAGCCCAAAAGAAATAAAGCTCTAGCAGTACATGTATGAAACGTTAAGAAAGAATATCATTACTTACTTATTAAACACGTTATTGGAAGATACTAAATGGTTAAGACTGTAACATTGTTTCTTTGTGAGTTTAATTTTTGAGAGACGCTTGATCATCTTTCTTTTATGAACGACCATTGATAAAACCTGCATCATAAAAATATACAATTATTAGTATCATTTACTACTAGAAAGTTTTAGTTTCAATGTAAATGTATATTTATTAATACTTACTCTAGGATTGGTTGATAGAATTTGATATTCTTTCATATTTATTAAGTCTTCTAATCGCTCTTTAACTGTTTGAGGTTTCATGCAGTATACTTTGAGGCAACGCCGTTGTGCTTCATCTGATATCCTATATTCCTTTAAAAAAATAATATGGTAATTACTTCATGCACTTTTACTAAAGGAAAATCCCTTTTTATGCGTGATTTCGAAATTTGAAAATTAAACTTTCATTCTATTTATTCGAAAAGCGATGATAAGTCAAGCAAGTAGATTGTAGTAATTACTTATTATTAATTACACTGTTAATGCACAAGTTAGCTAATGGCGCAAAACGAGCAATTAAAAAAGTTAATAATACAGATACCTCTAATAAGTCCCTTATTTGCAGTAAAGCATTATAATTATTTTTCAGTATCGCTGGCTCTGTTCTTATCACCTGACGAATGTCCATACCAGCTAGACTCTTTACATTATCTATGATAAGTTTGGATTTTATTGGATCAGTTGATATTATGAAACCATTTCTTCTGATTTCGTCTTTGCTAAACATAATGTTATCTTCTGCTATGGTTAGTGCTTCCTTAATATCAGACATCGGTTTATGTTTTAGAGGTAAATAATTTCGACAATATCTCTGAAACTCTTCAGATGTCACAGACAATCTCCACTTTAGGTATTTTTCTAACACACTCATCCTGACTATCACTGTGTAAAAATATAGTGTATTTAATTAAATATTGAAAAATAAGTATGAATAAACTATTGGTCATATTACATCAGCAGGATCTAATGTGCATTTTTTTTAGTTTAATTTGTTATAACCTACTTATTATTAAATACTATAAATTATAAGAAATAATCATCATCAATATATAAATTAGAACAAAATTTACAGAAGTTTTTATGTGACATAATTGGAAACACAAGTTATATTCTTACATATTGAGGTTGTGGAATCAGGGAAATTTTCCAAAGATCTACACATGGCTGGCAATTCTGGAAAATAGTCATAAAGAACTTCCTCAAGATTAAGATCAGCTTTAATCAAACCTTCTTTCTTTAGAAAGGCTATGGTACGGGATCTCACCAGGGTATGATATCTGTAACAAAATGTCATGGGTCATACAGTATATTGCATAATATGCGCAGTGTTATTCATATCTATAGACTACAGTTAATTCTATTCTATTAGATGGATTACAGACTACTTATATTCAGTAGTATAAAGATAAATTTATTTAATAATAACTTTTATAACCAACTTTCTCTGAGTGACTGGGATATGTTTACTGACTGGGTCAAAAAGTAGCCTATATCCTTCCCCAACCCATATAGCATGTGTTTACCAAATTTCATAGTGATTGATTGATGATTGATTAAGCCGTTAAAGTAACAAATAAACTCAATTTCACATTTATAATATAAGGTAAGTATTAAACTTTGACAGGTATCATTATTTTCTCAGCCATTATTTGTCCATTGATGAAAATGTTTATTTTTCTTGACAAGAAAAATTCTACTAAAATTTATTACATACAAATTATTACATGGTAATTATGCTGAACACATGTAACTTATAATGTTTTAATTAAAAAAATTAATTATATTAATAATTAGTCAAAATAATATTTATGATCCGTACCCAAACCAAAGGTCCTCATAACACTTACAGTATTTCCACATTGGATTGCCAGTGATATCCTTTGAGTCAAATACAAACCAGAATGGCAGTCATGACCCCTATCTGCAATGTCTTAACCCAAATCCTTTTTAGGAAATTTTTATAGTGTGAGCTTATATAAATAATAGGTTCTATACTTATCATAATTACAAGACATTGGTACAGTATTTAGTTTTTGTTATTTAAATTACTTTTAAATTAATGGTAGTATGTATGTATGTATGCTAGATAAATCTACCTTACTATTAAAATACTCGACCTGTTATTATATTGAATATGGTCGATATTATTATAATATATAGGTATTCTGTTGTTATAACATTTAATTAATATTGAGTATATGTACTCAATCTTAATTACCTAAACATTATTAAATTTGGTGAACTAACCATACAGTTACAGCAAGAAGTACATATGGATCATCTCCACACACAATTTCGAAAATTATAAATGTAAAATTGAGTTGAGTTACCTCAAAGTGCTTTAACAGTTTAACTAATTACTATGAAATTTGGTGTAGACATACTATATGGAATAGAGAAAGATATAGGCTACTTTTAATTTTGGTCAATCAATCAATTTCAGTAAAGTGGATAAAGTGGAGGGAAAACAATATCATATAGATATGAGTAGAATGGACTGGTTGACTCATTATTCTGTTACACACTATATGTTAATAAAGAATCATACAATTTCAAGGAAATTATTACAAATATACAGGTTAATAGTTTTGTTTGTAGGAGTTTTAAGGTATATTAAATTTAGTTAAAGTAACTTACTTTATTATGTGGTTTGGTAGGATATTTACGAATCCACATTCTTTCAATATTTCTCCATAGTTGTCTAATGTAATAGGATTCATTACAAACACATGAGGGTGTTTGCAAGCTTCTAATGTGGTGATGCCAAATTTATTCAATATACCTAATGTAAATTGTAAAGATTCATTGCTCAAAGTATCAATGTTTGGATGTTTTCGTACTAAGATTGAAAGTCTGTCCTTTGATACTATATCACCTGTAAGAATAATTTATTATATCACATGAAAAATATATGTATCTGAAATTATTATGTCTATGTCTGATAATGTAAATAGGAATAAATGCTTCATTCACTCGGTTCTCTGCCTACCATCAGCATATTTAAAGGGGTGGGTTGTGCCCCCTGAATTATTCAGTTCCCACGTCAGATTGCGATTTGTTCGCAACCTGACGTGGGAACTGGCTTTGCAAACATATGCCCAAAGAACATATTCGCCTTTATTAAGAGGCTAGATTTCTCCTTAAAAATAAATATACTATTGCTGTGTACTTTATAATTACTGTAGGGGACCTGGTAAGATGATAGATAAAAAATATACAAATTTGTAGAAGTAACTTGATTTACATTAAAGTTAATCAATTAGGTAACCACACGTTTTGTAAGAATGTTTAAAAATTATTGTTCAAGAGATCTTCCTTGGGAAAAGTTTGTAGACATTTCCGATATTTTCCGTTACAACGTGTTATAATCTTTCTCACCTGTTGCCTTCTCATACAAATCCAAAAATGGAATGGCATGGTAAGTTCTACGATGTTGTTTTGTAAAAATAATGTAATCTCGTTTTATTAGTTTTGCTATCTTGCTGTAAACTCCCATGATAATTTCTGTTGGTGTTATTTACATAAATTCATAATATAAAAATAATATTTATCATTTAAGTTATTAAATTCTCCGTTATTATTATTTTAATTTATTAAAAATAAAAAAATACACTCCATTGTTTATTTTCAAATTACAGATAAAATACATTAAAGTCATTGTCACTGGTCACACAATGACAAATAAAAATGACACTTGTCATTATAAATATACATGTAGAGTAAACACGAACATAAACTTGGCTGGATTTGCAGTCTAAGACAGAAAAACTTATGATAAACATGTGAAATGAAATATATAGATTTTGTAACTTAAGAACAATTTTTGATTGTAACTGTATTTGATATGTACCCCATTTTAAACCTTATCTATAGTTTTTACACATTTCATCACAGACTATCTGTATGAGGCAGATAAAATATAGTCTATGGATAAAATATAAAATATTTTGGCATATAGATTAAAAACTAGGTAGAAGTGACACTCCTGCCAGTTCTATAATAATATCCCGTTTGTCTCACAAGTCGTAGGTAAGAATTGAATTAAGAATCAGCGCGGATATGTGATACTCAGAGATCAAGTTTAATCGTAAGCTATTAAGTGGCGCTTTACTGTATAGTTGACAAAATAAAAAAAAAATATGATTTTATTACTTAGTAATCGCGAAAAATGTGCATTTTCACAGAACTTAATTGAATATTTTTATTGTAATAATACATAAATTAATAAATACATAACAATAAACTTTAGTTACTATTAATTAGATCTATTTTACTATTAAGTACATTATAAATTCTTAATTAATTCTATTAGTAATTACTTGTTTAATACATTGGTGGTAAAAATTTCATTAGATTTCTTACTAACGTCTGGGTGTCCATGGTTATTGCTATTTAAATAAGTTATTATATTGTGGACGTCGTCACTCCTACTGTAAGTGGTCGCCCTAAGCTATACAAGACAGCCATTTATAAATCTTTTTTCACTTTTTCAATATGATAAAACATTTTTTTTATTATTTTGAATATAAATTTGTGACAACTCTATTTGATTGAGGGAAGCGGGTTATGTTTTCTTGGCATCAGTAAACTCATAAAGAAATGTACACGATTGTTACTTCTACCTAGATTGTTTATTCTTAGATGTAGGTCTAGATTAGAATAATGATTCCTACTTTCAAATTAGTGCTTTCTTTATAAAAAGTGAATAAATTTGTTTTTAAATTTGTTTCCATTATCTATTTTTATTTTTTCCATTAATATATTATATATTGTAATTTTTATGATTTTTTTGTTTCTTACAGTGCAAGGTCGTGATTCACTACTTAAATTTGTGCTTATCCAAATATTGAATATTCTCAACACCTTTCCTTTGTGATCTTATTGTTTTTTGCGTGGCTTCAATCATAAAGATAAATGGTAATTATTTAAAATAATAATAAAATGACCCATGGTAGAAAAGACATGAATAGATTATTGCAAAACACTATAACAATTTATCTGAGTTTGTACTCTTCAACAATTTTTTTTTATAATATATTAAAATGTTTGACCATTTAAAAAGCAATGTTTAATTATTTATGTTTGAATTAATTTTTATTTAAGTTTCATTGTTGTAATATAGTGGTAAATGAAATCCGTATATAACTCAATAGTTGTTTATTTTTTGTTTTGGTTTAATATTTCAGATGGACTGGTCTGCAGTTAAAAATCATTTCAAACAGACTTGGCTGACAACAAGTCTCAGTCTGGTTTTATTCTCCGGTGTAACATATTTTTTACTATGGGCAGAGGTAATGAAAACAAACACTATTTTTAAATTTTCAGTTTATTCTAGACAAGTTAGTCAAACTTGCTAAGTACAATTTTGGGAAATATTTTTTGAATAAACATATTTTGTAGTGGAATTTGTCGCTACATGCAAGTAATTTGTTTTGGGTCTAAGGGTATTCACTGCTATAGTTATGCACTGGTGATCCATGAGTGATGATAGGTGAGACTTAAAGTCAGTTCAGTTGGCTCATCATGGCAAATTGTTCAGGAATTAAGTATGATAGATTCTAGGGAAGACAGCATATTATTAGTTTTATTAATGTCATACTGTCTTATTTCTAGAGTCAAACAATCCAAAGTAACTTGATGTTGGAAGAGTTGATATCTGTTGCTGAGAGTATAGATGTCCATACAGGAGATGAGGCTACGAGATATGAGAGCCGTGTTGTACATATTGTAGGTCCATTAAGAATCTTAGAGCCTATATCTGAACCAGATTATAATATACAAGTTCAAGCTGTGAAACTGAGAAAGAGAGTACAAATGTATCAATGGATAGAAGAAACCACGTAGGTATCACTTCTTCCCTCCATGTCTATATAAAAGATATTTAAAAACTAATAAAACATTGAACTGTAACATAAACCAAAAATACAATTTTTTTCTGTATACTGTTAGATATGAAGCTCTTATACTATAATATCATATAAACATAATTCTGAATAGTTAAATGTTCTTCATGTAAATTTAATATTACTACACTCCGCACATTTAATTAAAAAAGGCCACAATCCATGCTTGTCACAACTAAAGAAATAATTAACATCTCTATATGTGACAATATGTGTATGTCTAATTATGATTAGAACAGAAAAATAGAGTTTGGGTACAAATGTGAATTTGAGAGGGTGTAAGGTCTATTATAGTGGGTAGTAAGGAGTGTCTATATAGTATTTAGTACTATTACTTGTACTGTATATTACACTCTATCCCATTTATTTTAAACTGTAGATACTGTATAGATAAGACCTACTGATTATGATTGTGTGAATGTTATGTTATGGAATTATGTTATCAAGAAATGTTAGTGTGAATGTTGAAATTTATATGCAGATTGTTTTAATAAGCTAGGTTAATTAGTCTTTAGACAATATTGTTTTAATTATTTATCATTAATTTTACATTATTATTAAAATTTTCAGTGATCAAGAGAATTTCCTTAGTGAGCCTGCTGAGGAATCACGGAAAACTTACTGGTATCACAAAGATTGGAGGGATTATATTGTAGATTCGTCCCTTTTCTACATCAGGCCAGGCCACCATAATCCTACTTCTATGCCCATATTCAGTGAGACTCATATTGCAGAGAATGTGAAGATTGGGTGGTTATACCTTGGTGAGTATGAAGAGGATATTTGAGTATTCTTAAGATTCAAATAATTGTAATCATTATTTCTAAAACAACAAAAAAAAACTGGAAAGTCACATTTAATAAGACTTGAAAATTTATTATGTTTGATTTAGTACTACAATATTTAATATTGTGATATGATTTGAGTATCACTGTAAGTATATTGGTTTTAATAATTTCATTTCTTAGCATTTACTATCATCTGTATTTGCTATACTTTTGTGCAGTCTTTGCATTGAATAAATTATTATGTTACTATTTTCATACTAAGTATATTTTACATATTACAGGTTTGGATGTAAAACGCAAAGTGAATGATTATTATGAAATTTGGTCAGATTCGAGGCCAGAGAGGAGTGATATTAAATTGCACTCAGGGTTTTATTACCATGGCAATAGCGCTTTGCAACATGAGATAGGTGATCTTCGTATACATTTCTCATATGCTGGAAGGGAGGATGATATAGTAAGTTTAAAAAATTGTGCAAATATTACAATGTGAAAGTTTGAAATAATTTATTTTGTGTGTAGGTTGAAATAGATTGCTAAAATACATTTAGATAGATAGAGCTATAATCAACTTCAAAAAGTTTATAAATTGTAAATGTTTGTTACTCAATCAAACTTAAATAACTGAACAGATTTAAATTGTATTTGGTACCCAAACAGATGGTATCCTAGATTTACACATAAAGTACTTTTAACCTAATTTATGCAAGCAAAGCTGTGTGTTACAACTTGAAAATTGTAACAAAAATAACCATCTACTTTCTTAAATTGATAATTTATTTTCTATTTTAATATATTTCAGTATACAGCAGTGGGTCTTGTTGAAAGTGGCACTCTCCAATCCTATAGCCCTGCGAATTTTCCAGCTGCTGACCCCATCTCCCTACTGCGTAAAGGTTCTTACAGTCTTAAACAACTATACGACTTGGAGAAACGCGATGCTAACATTCACACATGGAAATATAGATTGCTGGGATTTGTACAAGTATTTGCATCAGCCATGACACTTCATCCTGATTGGATTACTTTGTGTTAGTATTGTATAAAATATAGAAATGTATTTTCCATCTCATCTATTTGAAAAATTGTAGTCTAAATCTAAACTATCAAATATTATAAAAAGAAAGTATTGATTTTTTGTTTGTTTGTTTGTAATGGATGAGCTCAAAAATACTAAAACTGTATTAAAATACTTGATTGTACTTAATTAAATTATACTTATTCTCATTTTACATCTAGCTATTTTTTTATAGGCAGTCATGCACTTACTAATGGTAGCAGAATTAAACAAAATATTTCTAATCAAATAACCAGTGATCTAGTTAGTTGTTATAATTTTGATCAATTAACATATTAGATACAGATATCTAATTTCATTCATAACATTTAATTTCAGTTCTTCAGTGCCAGTGGATATCAAGCAATTTAAGAAGATGCACAAGAGTTTGGGTCAATTTTATTCTTTCATTTTCTTATACATTGTTCATCATTGCTATACCTTGGTAAGTTATATACAGTAATCCTACTAATATAATACATCTATAATAATATATAATAAAAACATAAGTGTCAAAACAATTGTTATTAAGTCACGATTTAATGGCTGAATGAATAAAAATAAATTTTAGTACATGGACATATTGCAAATTTTATCCTAGTTTACGAGAGAAACAAAGTTATGGTTAGAAATATTATACTTACGTACTAATTCTTCCCAAGCGTAATTTTATTTATTTATATAAACATTTAGGTTGGTGCACAAACCATCATTTGGCGTTATGGTTTTGGGCGGGGCGATTCTCCCATTGTTGCACTACTCTACTTTACTCACCCGTCGAGAGATGGCACCCGAACCGCCGCCGTACACAAGATGGAATGACAACCTTCGCTGATCGACAGATAAATGGCTTTGAAAAGGTCTCTGAATCCCAAGCTCTAAGTACCCTAACCCCGTCCTTTTGCGTAAACAACGCTGCAAGTAGAGCTAGCTAGCTATCCCTACATGATACGATGACTATAGGGTAAGATAATGGCAGGAGAAATAAGTGGTGTGTCGATCAATCGGAGCAGAGTTCTTATTACGTTTACTATATTTACAATGTAATCTTTATGTTTGTGGTATATTTATCTATAAAATGTATTATAAAATGATTCTTTAAAATTTCATTTATTTACTTAAATTTTGTTAAGCAATATATTGTACAATGAGTGAGCTTAGTGCTATCAACATTATCTATTAAGCAGTCTTTGAGAGTGCAAAGATACTTATAGATGATTTACGTCTTATAGCATTATTATTATTATACAGTCAATCTCAGTATTGCCATAATACACTAATAACCCCTTTATTAAATTTTACACAAAGTTTTAATGTAAGTATATAATAGATTAAAATTAGATATAGATATCAATGTCATCGAGGTTTATACATTTTAAATTATTGCGAATAGTGAATAATACGAATGAAGGAAACCATATCGTAGTTTAGAATTAAGTAAATGAACCAAATAGAATTCCTAAGCGTACTTTACTATTTTTGAAGCAAATATTTGTTTATACATTTATAATGTTGTGATAACACATAGATATAATTTACACCGTATTTTAAGTGCATTATTAATTAGTATAGAACATTAATTCTTGCCAACGCTTATTTTTAGCCTAAGAGTTTATGTAAAACAAAATGTTGCTTGTTTTCTTTATTGTTGATTCGTTTAAATAAACTGTACTTATAAATTTATATATTTATTTACTGCGTAACTACTTACCTACATACATACTTATTATTAATAAAAAAATATATATATGTAGATTCTTTGAATAGTCAAGTTCGTTTTTCAATCAACTTGGAATGTAAAGAAGCTGAATATATGTCGTCGCCTACAGAATGGATACCATGGATATCGCAGAGGACTGTTGTACTGGTATTCATCTTTATTCCAATGTTGGAAGGGATTTACTTTCGTTCCTTTTATGACAGAAATAACAACTTTTAATTGCCATGTGGTCTCGGCACTCCTTCCATTCCCATGGATGTAATAAGAGGCGACTAAGGAAATTTAATGGTCAAGCGATGGTCAGCAGCGTCCCTTTTTAAACATCACCAAGCCCTAACTGCGGTTGCCAATCCGCCTGTCAAGCGTGGTAACTACTGGCAAAACTCCCCCAATAGGGGGCAGTCTATTCACCAGTTTACAGTTAACAGCTGATATGATATGATGATATCTTAAAAACGGTTTCAGTTTGTGATTTATTAAGGATGAGAACCGTTTCTTTCATGTCCTTGTGTTTATATCATTTAGTTTTAATACTTAATACCTGGAGGAAAAGGGATTGTTAGTAATGGGGTCTAACTGACCCATTACTAGCAATGCACCTTATCAGGTGTTCTCCACTCCAAGCGGATCTCCCTGGAAACCATCATGATTATTTCTAATGGAATTTGTTACGATGGGCTAACTGACCTGCTTTCATTGTCACCTATCATCCCTCCCTGGTGCTATCGTATACCGATAGCGCAACACAGCGGGGTAACTATTCCATTATGACCGATTAAAAAAACCTACACTTATATATCTTATAAATCGAAGATACATGTAGACTCTTAATAGAAAACCACCGCAGGTGTCAACGTATTTTTCTCTTTCACTTCTCTATACAACACGATACCTAGATTTTCTATTGACTTGGTTATCTAGTTATATAGATTTCAATAAAATAGATTTACCTAATTAAAGTCTAATTCTGAATAGTCAGAGATAATTTACAGCTGTCGTCGTGGTTATTCTATATGATATTCGATTTTTTTTTATTAAACATATTAATCGCATCTGTCATGACAACAAGCAATTAAACGCATTCTTGGCGCCTACAAAGATTTTTTTAGTATCTGCTTACCTATAACATCGTACGTACGTATCTTTATATATGTATATTGGGGTATCTGCAATAAGATTCACGCAGGCGCACATCAGTTTAAACCTTTATCAGCTGATTGGTCTCCGCCCTCTGATTTTAGAAATCTTTGCGTTTCATAGTCAAGGTTGTGATTTTATATTTGATGTAATAAACAATTTTTATAATTAGGTATCAACATATATACGTATCTTGTGCAATTGTCTTTTCAAAAATGAAAGCAGCGGCGATGTCGGTTTGGGTTTTCATAAATCTGCTTTGCTTTGGTATGTGTGGCTACTTATATCTCATCTGGTCACAATATTGGATGTATATAGAGAAACAAAGATTATTTAACAAGACACCAGGGACTCCGCAGAAAACCACCTTGAATTATCAGGACACGTATTTGGAAAATTATAATTTGAAGATAGTGTCTAATTACACAACATTACAAATTGATCCAGTCCGAAAAAATCGGAGGTCGGCTGTTGGCGCTGCTTGGAGCAGTAATCAAGAGTCCAGCAAGCCTTCTGGGTCTTTAGTCCGTCCATCTACTAATATAGTCAGGAAAAGCCAAGGTAGACCTCGATTTCCAAATATACACAAACCAATATTGGAGTTCGACAGTGATAAATACGTTTGTGATGACTATACAACACCAAACTGTGAATCGCAGACGATTGAGTTTAAAGAGTTACTGTTAAAAGAATTTCACAGGGTGTTAATGAGTGATAGTAAAGTATTTAAGTCTGGCTTAGACTCTCAGAATCCTTATAATGTGAAGTACGTGGGTGGTCAGCGACGCGAGAGATCCAGGCAGGAAGTGTTATGTGCTCTCAAAGCTGTGCAAGTGCGAACGGTGACTGCCAAAGATGAACCTTTCGCTCGTCTCGGGTTTCATATACCTCGGGATCCTTTACAGCAAAATCGGACTTTTAATACTTGCGCCGTAGTAACCAGTGCTGGAGCGTTGTTGGGATCACGATTAGGAGAATTTATCGGTAATTATAGTAATATTTAGAGAGAACTATTTTACATAGAGCTTTCAATAACTCGTATAATTTTATTCTCACAATGAATGCTAATTGATGAATCAGAATGCATAAGGATGAGTTGGCACTCGATATGAGTGTTCACCTAAATGCGTAGTTACCTGCTTGTCTTGTCTTGGCTAATACTAATAATTTTGTTTACAGTTATCGTCCTCAATGAGTTTTACTAAGCTTTACTACTTATTTTGTTCTTTTGTAACATAGGGCAATAACCCGTAATGAGAACATTGATTTTCTTTTGAAAGAAATTGTAATTTCAGCATCCTCGTGCTGTTATGGAACATAACTGGAATTTTTTTAATTATATCTATATGTACCTATTTACTTGCAATATTGTAAAAAAAAAAAAACAATACAAAGGAGCATATTATAGCTTTGAAAAATATATTTAAATTATATTTATGAGTATTAAGAACAATAAGTTATCATACTAGGACAACTTTACCGTTGTTATGTAGTTATAGGCTGTAGTAGGTGATCGACCGTGCACAGTGCAGCTATCGGCTCAAATCTTTGCTTTGTGTATGCATTGTAATTCACGACCCACCCTTTTCGTCGAAGAGCCCAAATCGTAAACGTATTACTCGAAAATATAAGTGTCATCAGGGATTTTACTGATTGTTCAGTACAAATTTAACGATAAATATTTTGCCTATATTACTTATGTACATGAATAGAATTTTAAATATTTAATGGAAAGTGATGACTTTATAAGGATATTACACTGCTAGGTAATATACATTTATTTTTTGTTAATGCGTAAATGCCCAAATGAGTAATGCGATAATAGATACTTCAATCCTTGGGTGTTTTTTTTAATCGTTACCAATGAAATAGTAACCCGGGGCAGTTTGCGGTATTGGTTATGTTGTAAGAGTACCAATAAAAGAGGTTGAATATACACCTAGAGTTGTAAGTCCGTCGCGACGAATTTCTTTTAAGGGATGACAATATGGATGATACTAATATGAGTAGAATTGTAATTCTGTTTGCGCTATGGGCATTCACTATCAGGGCCATCCAAACTAGACAGGATCAAGTGCCAATAAAAATAAATAAATTCATTGGGGACCGTAAAATATTTGTAAAAATAAAACGCAGCTATAATATCATTATTTTGATATTGTATTACATTTTCATTAATTTATCTTTTACAAATTTGATAACATCAGCATCAATATTGGTAGTAGCTAAAGGAGAAACATCAACATGAATATTGGCAGTAAACATTTGGCGGGCCGCATCAAATCAAGCCGCGGGCAGTATGTGGCCCGCAGACCATGGTTTGGACAGCTCTGCACTAGACGAAGCATCAGTGAGGGATGATAGGTGAAGATGAAAAAAAAGAAGGATGGTTAATAATGCGGACTACCAGCTCCTTTGTTATCAATATACACCTTCAACTCGACCTCCACGTGGTCCCCCTTGGAAACCATCATATTGAATTTTAGGTGTATTCATCATGATGGGTTAACTAGCTTGCCATTTCATTTTCTTCCATTAGCGCAGGTGAGGTTACCATTCCATTATCATCCATTAAAAAAAAACGAAGATGTAATAGACAATGATCTGAGGTCAACATTGGTCAAAGTGAAAAAGTAATAGTAGGAGAACTGCCTCTGTCTATAGCCAGGATATAAGCTTGGCTGAAAAAGATAATATCGTCATAGTCGTAGAATACTGACGGATATATATCTATCTACTATACTTATAATAAATTTGTAGAGAGGTCATTTCTGTACATGAAATATATTTCCGAAATAACTATCAGGAGGTGATTAGTGATCGATACTGATGCCAAAAATGCAATCAGTAAAATTTTTGTCTATCTGTCTGTATGTTCGTTATAGAAACAAACTACTCGACGGATTTTAACGAAACTTGGTACAATTATTCTTCATACTCCTGGGCAGGTTATAGTATACTTTTCATCACGCTGCGATCAATAGGAGCAGAGCAGTGAATGTTGGGAAAACGGCCTTGGAAAACAGTGCAGCCTTATGGCCACTTTTTAAAATGTAAAAATGTCCACCCCTGCGAAGCCGGGACGGATCGCTAGTATTTAATATTTGTCAGATCCGTCAGTATTCTACGACTATAACGATATCACACATTACCATATCTAGTATTAGATATGGTGATATGTGCTATTAGTTTTACTAATAGCAGTATGTATGTAGGTTCTTAAATACATTCTTTATAGACTTATACAAATAGACATATATAGATATGAATACAAATGTTTATATTGTACGAGGATCGAACTCACAAACACGTAGAGAAGTGTGCTATCAAGGTCTTCGTATTCTTTTATATTAAAAATACTATAATAACAATAGGAAAACTTTATATCGGATTAAGGTAAAAGTCGCATCAAAGTGAATCATTTATTCAAACAAATCACAAACAATATTTGCATTAGTCATACAATGACCGCAGGACGGTCTTTGTCCTTTCTTGAAAACCTTAAAGAGTTTATAGCCCAATCGTGGAACAGACGTGACACATGTTACTCGGCTAAGGAACTATGGCGTTCCCTTGAAAATTTCTGCGTCAACGAACTTAATGTCTATTTCATTGCATAAAACTGCATGATTACAACTTTAATTGTGGTTTGATTGTACAATATTTATGCTACTTGACAAATTGCATATAGACATGTGGGCAGAGTAGGTATTTATTTATCTATTATACCTAGAACCAATATTGTGTTTATTAATGACTAAGCAATAGTTACAGCTTAGAATCTACAGATGATACTGTTATCACAGAGTAAGTAATAACTGCGTTATAATTATTACCCGTTTACTTAAGTTAAATACTTTTCTTAACTATTTACTGATTAATTTTTCATAGACGTAGTATAAAGAACTTATTATTTTTATTCCTGTCAGATCAAAGAGTAGTACAGTAGATGTTGGATATAAAGTAATTCATCGGATAATGTAATGTAAATAGGATTCTATTTTCTGCGCTTAGCCTCTCATTTGGGCCGTTCTGCGTATGAGTCGTGGTTAGTACAGCCAACCTACCTCCGCTCAGAAGCACAGAAGCTTCCTGGGATCTTCACAGGCCTCACGGAGCGACCTTACCATTCCGAGGATTTCTAAGTGCACATAGGTGTTTCTGCTGTGAAGCAGTTATGTTAGCATTGTTCTGTTTCGGTTTGAAGAGTAGGATATATTAATGTCATATTGTTCATCTCGCTCTAACTAACTAATCATTTATGACTTTTACTTGCTAATTTATATACTTCATAATTTGAGATCTAAACTAAGAACAAGGAATTACATAGAAGAAATGATAAAATAAAATATATGTAGGTATTCTCAAACATGACCTTGTGAAGACTTTTGGATCCTGGGTGGCCACGAACCACCTGATCCTCTCCTTAAATGGTTATATTATAATTTCCTTGTTTCTATGATGTAAAACACTAGATACGAGTATCACACGGGAGAAAGTACAATCTGAATCCTCCTGATGTCCATTCCTTAAGTTCAGATTCAGGCACCAGATGTATTCGTTGGTAATTGGTCCCTTACTTCTTTTGTTGGATAAATATTATTATGATTGCAGCTAATTAGAAATAAGGTGTAGTAATACAGTGTATTGTGGACAATGCAGCTCGCGAGTGTCATTAACCTAAGCTAAGGGTCTGCATAATTCATCGCAGACACCATTGTGTGCCGAATCCTACGAGCGGTGCCGTCTGAGTATAATAAATAGTACGTTACCATGAACATACCAGTTTTATCCCTGTATGAATTGCCTGTTGAAAATCTGAGTAAAAACTTTAGATTTAATAATAAATAATATTGATGTGATATCTACATAGGTAGGTACATGCACGTTTAAAATAATAAACGTATTTTCGTGCCAATACACAATATTCTTGACGATTTATATCTCTACTAATTATTAATGTTCCTTGTTTATTGGTAGAGATTACTAGACAGATACGAATAATATGCAAAGAAAAGTAAATAAAAAGTAAGAGCGAATTTAACTAGTGTATTTATAATAATTTAGATTAAAAAATAGGCAGCTAACTATGCCCTGATAATTTTTTTTTAATAGAATCTCTAGATTAAATAAGTATATCGTTCATTTTTATTGCGGTTGAGTACTTAATCCTACATCTATTTTTTTTCATTTTGTTCTTTGTAACATTGTGACAAAAGATTAGTTACATAATGTTACTACGATTTAAGTGCTATTGTAAAGATATTAAATGCGACTTTTTCTTGTTGTTATTACCGAGCTAATTGTCGTATGGTAAATAAGTCGTAGTGGCGAGATGTCGCAAGACGCTGTATACTTTTCTATAAACAATAGGACAAGTCCGCTGCGACGTTGATGCACCACATAAATTATTGAACAGTTTTATTAACCATTAGCTTTTATCTGTAGCATCGTCTATTTGGATAGCCTATGACAATAATATGTTTGTCCTTAATACACGATTTGCTATAATAATATTTGAGTACAAAAACCATTACCAACTTATAGATAGAAAACATATTTCTATTTAATTAAAGCGCAATAGTTAGTAGAGACCAGTCTCATTTGTTTTTCTGATGATCATTATATATTATTAGCAACCCGCCACTTCGTTCGCATGATTGAGATATATTTAGTGATCGGGATAAAAAGTAACTTATAACCCTCTTTATTTCATACAGTATGTGAATACCAAATTTTATAGTAATTGAATAAATCGTTAATGTAACAAACAAACTTACTTACGTTTATAATATTAAGAACGTTAGAAAGAATGTATAAAATTAAAGTTAAAAAAATATATTCTTATATAGCATGTAATTCAAAATTATATTATTATTCTTTGATTTATTATTAGCAGATTAAACAACTAAAATCCAAGGAATTATATTATGATTATGAGACATTAATGTTTTGAAACTGCTTACCTTTTGAAATTCAATTTTTTTGAGATTTTATGCATAATTTTAAATTCTTATTTTTTTGCTTGTATTAAACATTTAGTAACTAAACTTGTTTTAGGTAGTAATAAATATGACGGGTTACTTATATTAACCTCTATTCGAGATTACGTTACGTAAAGTTCTATCACGTTTTCATGATTTTTTGTGACATTTCCTATAACAGCCATAAGTCAAAACAATCGTATTACCTAGCAGTAAAAAACACTGGAGTCAAGATTGAACAGCAATTATCGATTCTTTTATAGATAATAATGTTGTTTACTTCCATTGTTCCGCTTTCATACATATGACGGTATATAATAGGGGAAAACTTGTGTACGTATCATTTTACAGTACTGATTTCATTTAATTGTAAATTAACTATCTAGTAATACACAAATTTTCACATAAGTTGTAATATATTTATTGTTTACATTTTTAAAGTTATTTAATGGTACAATATTCAACTTCAAGATTATGATTGTGTCATAAATTGGCAAAAAATTTTTAGTTTTGTAGTAATTTGAATAAATATAAATACTGTGACAAAAAATTCTAATAGGTATTATATTTAAATAAATTTATTAGTTTATCCTTTTAATAGTGATTACAGACTGGAATACTCAGTGGCAACTATTTCCTCTATTTTAAAAACACAGTAAAATAAATGTGCTCATCTATCTCATACGAGATAGATGGGGTGGTTTTTTTTTGATGGGTGAAAATGGTATGGTAACCCCGCCTGCGCTAACGGGATACGCTGGCGGAGCACCAGTGAAGGGTCATAGATGAAAAAAAGTTAGTCGAGAATTTAAATACATATGATAAAATAAATATTATACAGCTAGTACTTGACATTTTCTATCTTTATTTTTTTAAGAATCTGTAATAACTTCTGATTAAAATAAATATTAGGTATACTAGTTTTTTAGACAAGTATATAGTATAGTAGTTAAGACATTAACAGTATCTATTTCTAGTATTATACCTAATATATATTTGTATTATTCTTTAAGTGGTGCAATAAAGAGTTAATAAATAAATAAATTTTTAAGTATTGATATATTTGCCGTGACAACTCATTAATTCAAAAAATTTTTAATGAATATTTTACAGGAATAGATAATTAGTACATGGTTTTGTAGTATTAATAATATACGTATAACATTGTGGGTTACGTATATAAAAATATAATATATATTGTATGTAATATTTTGTATGTATTATATTTAATGTGTAACTGTTTCTTATTCGGAATAAATAAATAAATATTTTTATACGAAACAATAAAAAGGTTAAACCAATTTCCCTCGATGCATGTTTCAAAATTTCTCAAGTGGAGCGGAAACGTAATAGACAGTGCTTTTCAAGGTTCCGGCAACGTTGGACAAAATTCTATAACTATAATTTAATTTAATATCAACGAAGGAGAGATTGCAATCGATGGAAAGTTTTTTAAACAGATCCAAGGACCTTGTTCGAATTACAACGATTATGACAATATTTTTTTTTTATATTACGGCTATTATTACAATTAAATAAAGCCAACATAGTTTACATGATCAGTGATTACGTGACTTATTCGATAAACGCTGTTTGAAATTGATGAGGAAGAAAAGTACTTGAGTAGCGGTCTGAATAGGTAAATGTAGTGTGAGGCGACCTCCAGATTGTGTTGCAGAGCGTCAATGGATGAAAATGGTCTAGGACTGTTAAGTAAAATAGTCTATGGAGAGCAGGGCCGTGCCTGACGGGCGTTCATTGCGTGCACCGCACGCAGGCGGCTGAAATTAAGAGGCGGCCAAATCGTTACAAGTTGTTTACTGGGCCGATTTCGGTTAACCAAAAACTGATTTTTTTCCCGGTTTGATGCCCTGTGTATAATAATAAACATTAAAAATTAAAGTAGTTTTTTTAATGTGATCCTGGGGGCGGCCATACAGACTGGCACGCAGGCGGCCATATACCCAGGCACGGCCCTGATGGAGAGGCTTATATTTATCACCGAATTGAGAATGGTTGAGAGAATGATAATGTTTAATATATTTAAATTCATATATTAATCTTCATTTATTTTTAGTTATTTAATATATTTTAAGTAGCTTATGTAATATAAAAAAATGTATGTTAGTAATGATTCATACATTTATATTTATGATAAGATACTTTACATAGGTATAAAGTACTTATTCTATTTGTGTTAAGCTAGTACATAACATACCCGTGTACTAAATTTCATTCAAATCTGTGTAGCCGTTTAAGCATTGTTGAGTAAAAAACATACAAACTCCTTTACAAACTTTCACATATATAATATTAGTAGGACCTTAATTCCACACTTGTTTTCCACTGATCATGTTTGTTTCAGATTCGCATGACATGGTGTTGAGATTTAATAATGCACCTACAATAAATTTTACGGACGATGTTGGTGCCAAGACCACCTTCAGGATACTTAATTCACAGGTGACTGACTATAATTAATTTATTATTCATATGTTAAGAACATGTGAGAACAAAAAATATAGTTTTATTGACTATATTTTATGTTCTCGCTAACTTGACGACCTCTGTTGTGTACAGATTACACGCCACTTCCCTTAAAGATGTCTCGGATTTGATTCCAGGACGGTAAATCTGCATAGTTATCAATGTAGAATATTAAAATTAATTAAACAGTGTAAATGGTAGACTTAACACCATACATCGTTATCTACCAGTCGACTGTCAGTTGACTAACAGGAATAACCACAAATATAATTGACGGTTTAATGTAATGAGCAAATAAAAAGAAAAAAAAATACAGAACAAATGTTCTGTATTGCATATCAAGTAAATACATATGAAAATATATATACAAATACATAAATATATGTATATGTGTAATGGAAGAAGGAGAGTAGAAGAGAATGATACCTTTGCAAAGAGAGGTAGTAGGACTTAGTTGAATTTTCGAATGTGGTTGGTTGTTGGTATGACGGACGGAAATAGGCAGCAGCGCCCCTCTTAAAATGTCACCAAAGCGTAACTGCGGTTGTCAACCCGCCTGCTAGGCGTAGTAACTACTGGTAAAATCCCCCTTAAGAGGAACCTTATGTTTAGCAGTGGACAGTTAATGGCTGATATGATGATGATGATGATGATGAATCACAGTTCGCAATTCGTTTGTATAATAAAAAAATTGCTTTATATTCCAAATATTTCCATTTGTTGAAAAAAGTTATTCAGTCTTTCAGTCGCTTAATTTGAATTGTTTTACTTGATATAATTGGCATTTGGCGTTCCTTTGTTTCTGCCTACCCTAATAGGAGACAGGCGTGACAGATATGTATGTATGTATGTAATTGACTATATGTATCTATACCTTTATTTATTTATTATATATTACATTTATTTCCAGGTAGTCACTAAGCCAGAATTCATGTTTTTAGAGGATCCACTATATAAAGATGTTTCTATTATAATATGGGATCCTGCAAATTATTCATCAACGTTAGAAGAATGGTACAATCATCCAGACTTCCCATTGTTTCCAGTGTATAAACGGTAACTATACTATACTAGCTTTTAATGCAAACATATTACGGTTACCCGCGACTTCGTCCGCGTAAATAGAATTTGTTTACTGACCAGGATAAATTTTAACGCTCTATAAGGTAACAAACAAACTTTTTTACATTTATAAGTAAGGATAAGGATTAAATTACTAAGTGCTAATTTCTGAACTATCTAATGATGTAGTTAAAACATTATATTAATATAATCCTTTATTTTTCACTGATGAACGTGTCTACGTATCAAGTTTGGATATTAGATTGCATTGAACCTGCAACAGTGCATAGTAGGCTAGTGTTTCTGGAGTGAAAAATTTTTGGCGTGTTGGTATACAAGAGGAAATTAATTTACATATACAAGAGGATACTAGAGGATATTAATTCACGTTGGGTATAGGTGGCCTGGTATAAAGTTTATTTTGAGTTTTCCTTTTTTGCACGTGTGTATTAAGTTCCTCTCTGTATGTTATTCTGGGAATGAAAATGAGTAGGTATGAATATATTGGATAGATAATCTACATCAATATCATATAAATATAACTATTGAACTCTACATAATTTTTTTATTTATTACAATATTTTATTCGTTATGCAATTTTTTATGCAGCTTGAAGTGACAAGCCCTAGTTTATATTTGTTTAGCTTTTTCCTATTAGAAAGTAGGAGTCATCACTTCTGGATATGAACAGCACTATAGATATTACACAATATGCTGTAATACTTATATATCATATCCGAAATCGAAAACACATCTGCTTAGCGACTTTAATACTAAATTGGAACTAAATAAAATATTGACGCAATTAACAATATGTATAGATCCAGTTAGTAGCAGATAAATAATTCTATATATGCATTCGTGTTTTTAAGGGATGTATACATTTTTAATTTGAATTGCAGATTACTTGAGCGACGGCCTGATGCAGATGTTCATTTACTCAGACCGGAAGTATTGTGGGACCTCTGGGCGGTACTACAAGATTCTTCGCAATATCGCTTAAGGAGGAATCCTCCGTCATCAGGATTTATAGGTAAGGTATATTTAGCATTTAATGAAAATTTATAATAATGCAATATAATACTATATAATTAGATTATATTAATTGTAAATTGAGTTTTTGTGCACTTGATTTCAGTTAATGTAGAGCCATCTTGTATCAAATTGCATCCAAATCTAATCAGTTGTGTAGGCATTAAAGTTTGAAATATTATTACAAACTTTCACATTTATACTTAGTGATAGGAAAGAGATAAAATATTTCAATAGATAAAATTAAGATCTTGTTTAGTACACAAAAATGCCAAGTTCTATTAGTATGAGAACAAGAGTAAACGAGATGGTAATAAAAAAGGCGATAAATCGGGTAACAGAACTTAAAAATATTATACAAATTGGGAACCTCTTTTTTAAAATAAAATTGTTAGTTATGATATATAACTTCAAGTTTGGTATTATTCAAATTAATATAATTAAAATAACTAAAATAATGTTGTAATTATAATATGTTATTGAAACAGGAATGTAGAAATGATTCGAGTAATTGAGATTGGATTCTTACCTTCTAAGTGATTGTTAAAACCTTCCATTTAGATATATGTATATATTAGTTAAATTATGGGGAATAGCTAATGAGTGACTTAATGATACACACATAATTTTTTCTTTTTAGTATTTTTTTTAAAGTACTTACGTTTGTTTGATTATTTCAAGTAAGCCATTGAAGCACTACTTTAATGGCTCGATCAATCGACCTGAAATTTGGTATATACTCGTATGCAATATCTATATAGTATAGAAAGAAAAAGATGTAGGCTAGTTTTATCCTAGTGAATCAACATATTCAAATCACGCCGACTAAGTCGCGGTTAAAAACTTATAAAGATATCAAGAAAAATCTTCTTAATAATGTGTAGGTACTTCTTAATTTTTTTTCCCTATTATGTGATATTATGTTTAATCGATTCGTTTTTATATCTTATTAGGTATTTAGTAAACATTTGGATTAAACTGAAGTTTGTGCAAATTTTTTTATGTGAGAATAGCGGATCGAGAGTTGAATTAAATTTAAAATTAGAGAATTTTACCTATTTATAAATAAAATAACAAATTATTATTCTATGTTTATGTTGTGACTTGTATTATTTTCAACCAATATCAAAAAGAAGGAGGTTCTTAATTCGGTCGTATTTTTTATGATTGTTACCTCATAATTCCGTCAGTTATAAATAGATTTGGAAAATTTTTTTTTTATCTAAAAGCATATACTTACAGTTTAGTTTCATAGAAATGTCATCAAAATTGGTTCGAAGCTTTTTTTTTTTTAAATCAAAATAACTGATTGTGTAAACAGTCTTAATTTATTATTATTTGTATTTTAAATGATGTCATGAAACCCATAAAAACACGTTGTTTGTTGTTTTTTCATTCATTAGTCTCTGGCGGAGGGACAAGTGGTCTAATTATATATTATATAGCACGTGTGTCATTCATACATGACAATTAGTTTAATCTAAGGATAAAAGGCCCATATTCCCTCGTTTGTTGTTATTACGTGTATTTAATTAAACATGAGTTTAATTAAATAATCATTGTTGTCGTCTATGTTTTGTGTCATATGATAACTACTTAATTAAGTAGGTGTGGAATATTGTTTTGTAACTAAGTAGTCAAAGGTGTATATATATATATAAATAGTTATAATACTAAAATTAACGAATTGTCATCACATCAAAAAGTGGTGGTTCTTAAATTGTCTCTTTTTTGTGTGTATGTATTGTTTAACCTGTCGACAGGTAGTTAATAAAATTTTATTGAAATTCATCGTATCGTTCGGATGTAACACATGTGTACGAAATTTCATTTAATGTGTGATATACCTAGTTATCATAAATACAATACTCTTACATCTTATTTCAAGTGGTCAAATTTGCAACACAGTTAGTAGTTACATAATTTGTCAGTAATCTAATCTAATCAGACTAATTATTCAGGGGTGTGGTTCGCCTTGCACCGGTGTGCACGTGTGCGCGTGTTCGAGTACGTACCTTCGGTGCGCGCCACTCGCCGCTGCCACTACCACGTGGCCCGCGACGACACCGCCTGCACGTTGGGAGCCTGGCATCCCTTAGCGCAGGAGAAAGCTCTCGCTGAACGCATGCGTAGCAATTCCGATTTGGACGTCTTTCAAAGAGGCTTTATTGATATAACTGGCTTAAATAATATTAGTTGTTAATTAAATATAAAGAAATTTATGCTCACAAGTGTCGATTGCTGCCATAGTAGTGAACATGGTAGGGGGCGAGCCTCGTAATTAAAATATGCAATTTTTTACGCTTCATATTTGATTGTATAATAAGTATAATAGTAAATACTCAATTAGGATTTAATTTTTTTAATGTACATAATTGAATTTTTTAGATCATACACCTTTAGGTGGAAAGTGTCAAGTGTTATATAATACAAAAAACGTATTATATAATAGTCAGCTAAAGGGCAGTAAATGTATATTTATATAAACAGATATTACAAGATTAAAACAATTTTATAACCATCAAAAATTAAATTATTTTTAAAAAGATTTTGCAAAAAGACATTCTATCTAAATGTTTATGATCTACTAGAAATAAAGTCATGTTAATTTTCGTAGTCATAGAATCAGATGCAATAACTGTAACTTATTACTTTATAAACTACAAAAAGCATGTCTTCCTAATAAAATATTAAGGTGCCTAAATATGCTATACAAATGTAATAATTAGAACAGAATCAGTACGATTTGTTAAATATAATGAATGATTAATTGTACAATAGTTTGTTTATTGGTCACCCACCACACCTTGCTTGTTTGGTGATACATAAAGCGGCATCGACTTTATCATACAGGAACAAACATTTTAATTGTCGCTTTATGAGATTCAGGTAAGGTCATGTTGGCCATGAGATGCCCTTGTGCGAGGGATATTGTATTTTTAGCGTTTTGCTACAGGCCGGACAGCGGGTGCTATCAGAATACAGATGCGCACGAGTCGCTATTGATTATTTAGCGATTCAGCGCGGGCGCACGGAATTAGCGCGCTATACGACGCACTGTATTTATACACAACTGACCAACGTCCTACAACGTACCTACAATCACTTCCTACTTTGTGATGAAACTCTGAACCATGCATAATTCGTGTACATCATTGAAAATTTAAACAGATACTTAATTAGCCCTAATTAACATTCTAAGCTGTTCTTGGTTGTAAATAACCAGGTATTAATATTTTCCATGGGTGCCTATAACAACTATTTATAATCTGTTTACGTTAATAAAAAATATTATATACATTTTATTAACTTCAACAGGATACATTTTATGTTTAAATATTTGAAGAGGCAGGTACTGTTAGCATAAAAAAGTCAATGGACATAAAGTTTTCACAACCCTAATACGTCGTTTCATATATATAATGAAATCTGCATTAGATCTCAATAGTGGGCTGTACAAGTAAAAATAAACATTCTTCCATAAGAATAAACCCTTGTTGGATTGAAAAAAAAAACTTTACTAAGCACTAACACTAGGCAGGGCGTATAAATGGTTTAGCATGAAAAGCTAAACTTTTTTGTTGTTTTTCTACTCATGTTTTTTGAGAAAAATTACATTTTTATTAACAGAATAGTCCTTTAAAAGGTAAACGATTTCAATTTCATCTTATATTATTGCACGATTTTTTTTTAATTAAATGAGGGGGCAGATTTCGTAAGTATATTTTACAACTGTATGTTTATAAGCGATGGCTACTACTTTTGATAAGATGGGCCGTGAATTTTTTTCCGTACCAAATTGCATTTCTTAGATATTTTTCCTATTGCAAAACTACAATTTTATAATAGGAAAAATATATTGAATTTATAGATACTGATTATTTACTTCATACTTCCGGTGTCATTTACACATTCGGTATGTATATACATATGTCTACTATTATGAAATATCAAATTTTAGGAACGTCTATTTATGATGTAGGTTAATCTTATAAGAAAAAAAAAACTTTATTATCAAGTATTACCTGGTATGTAACTTTTAAACCAGTGTATGTTCGATAATAAGTATCTAGGTGCTTACTTGGTTCTTTCTCAATTCGATTATTAAGATTCCATAGTAAAATGGAAATTTAAATTTAAATTTTCTCAATACTATACAGATCTTCCATTTTATGGTTCCCAATGAGATTTTTTTTATATTACAATTCAGATATTCAAGGATATATTACAATTTAGATATACAAGGAGAAGTATTTTTACATATTGTTACAGATTATTTTTAACAGATTTAGTGGTAACAAGGACTATTAATTTCTTTGTATGTATGTATGTAGGTATGCAAAAATAAACGAAAATAAGCATACATGGTGTGAAGAAAATCAAATGTCTAATAAATTTTCCTCTTGGACTTTGATGTAGGTATTTAAATTTGCTCCCAATATTGCGAGTCATTGACGTCAAAATTCGTAGAAGCAACAGGCGCTATGTAAGTATGCTGTAGTAGTTCACATGGTCCAGTAAACTAACTTCTGGGTATATTCCATAGATTTTATTCAAATTTAATGCAGTTAGTGTACTAGGAAGCGCTGGATTTCTGCCTATTGCATCCTCAGCCTGGCTATGGTCCAGCGATAGTAAATCGATTGTTTATTTATTGCTTTGTAATTAAGTACATATTGATAAATCGTGTTTAGAAAAAACAAGGAAATACCTAGGTATAGATGGCTGCTTTTAAATAGAAAATAGAAAAAAAAAAATAAACAGACACACTTAGATAGATACTAAACAATTCAGTTTCTCCCTAGATAAGGGATATTTATTTAGGGGACGTTTATTTTTTAAAAAGCCTATATATTTATTCAGGATATAGACATAGGAGAACATACTTACAATTCAAGACATGGTTCCTTTGTGTATCAAGATTCAATCAAATCTATTTAACCATAGCTGAGTAACAATTATTTTAAAAAGTTACGAAGCTGTAATTTTCTTTATGTACAGCAAAGGTCATGCGCCGTTTTGTTTGTAACATTTATAGTAGTTTGCTCATTTTAGGCACCCAGAACTTCTGGTTTAAACTTCTGCTTAATTTAGCAGAAATGTAAGTGAGGAGGATGATCAAAGGTTTTTGATCATTAGTAGCAAATATTTGTGATTTTGCAGCACTGCTTATCATTTATTCTCTCATCAGATACCAATATTCTGTTCGGAATCAATTCTCACTTTGAAAAAAGAATTGTTAATAATAATAAATAATTTCCATTCTCAAAAATATGCATTGTATTTTAATGAGCATTATTGAATATGCCATTACAATGCCATTGATTCACCATACAGCCGTATTGGCAGTGTTTTCCCTACAATGCTACACCCAGCCGTTACAAGTTAGCCACAAATTGCGGAAACATAATTAATTATCATAATATACAATCACTGTACAGTAAAAGGTCTGTTTGACATGCCCTTGGCAATACATGAAGGTCCTTAGCTTTGTCTTACCCGTGCATCTTCTTATAAATAATCAGCATATGAGTTATAAAGGATGTGTCATCGCCATTAATTTCTTCGGAAGGAAATGCAGGTGTTCCATAGTAGATATAACATATTTATGTACTCGTAGCGATAAATTGTAGAATTACTAGTAAATAGGTTGAAAGTGAGAAAAGTGCTACAGCTTATGTAATAAATTAATATTTTTAAAATTTCTAATTCAAAAAAAAATATTGGGACGTTAATTAAATATAGAGACAATAAAAATATGAGTAAAAAGTATATATTTTATAGACCCTTAGCATTCTAATTGATTGGTGCCATAGACTATGTTGCTACAGGATGTTGCTATATTGTTAAATTACTAATATTTAATTTTAATTTTTAAAAAGGGCGAATTAAGGTTAACTCACAGTTAGCAACGCGCTCGTGATACCCCTAGTGTTGCAGGTGTCCATAGGCTACAGTAACCGTTCACTATCAGACAGGCTGTATGTTTGTTTGTTACCTTTGTGGTATAAAAAAAGTTTATATTTTTTGACAGAACTCATTGGTATATTGCCGTGTAGTTCCGGCATAGAAGGAACATCCCATTCTTTCGTGTGGGTGTCGTAAGAGGCGACTAAAAGGAATTAATGGTCAAGGGAGGGGCAGCGCCCCTCTTAAAATAACATCAAAGCCTAACTGCAGTTGTCAACCTGCTTGTCAAGCATGGCAACTACTGACAAAACTGTTTTTATCTAAGAGGCCTATGTTTAGCAGTAGATGGTTAACGGCTGATATAATTAAATCCGTAAATTATGCTCAATGGTGTCCCGTGTAACAACTTCAATAAATATATTTACTACCTACTTTTGAATAATTTTGTATAGTCATTTAATATCCTGTAGTAACAGGATATTAAATGACTATATAAAGTTATTCACTAATTGAAAAGCCAACTTCCACACGGTTTCCTTCTGAAAACCATCGTGGTTAATTCCTGCGTGGTGAATTCGTCACATTACCTATAACTCAGGTGAAGTCTTTCATGTCATTTTCACCAATTTATAAAAATGCTATTTATTGTTTGTGACTGAAAACGGTATATTTATAATGACTGATTTATTGATTTACTATTAAAAATTTTACGTTGACAAATTGCAGTACATAATGTCTAACAATTATATCATATTAACACAAAACTGATAAATCAACAGAGATTGCTCTATCGATATTTCCAATATTTTACGTCATCAATTCATAATGTGGTTATTCTTAGGAATGACGTTGAAATTAAATCCTTATATAATATTTTGTCATCATTAGACTCTGCTACATTATCAGATAGGTACCGACGTATCTTATACCGACGAAACAGGTTTCAACAACTACGTCACAACGTTTAATCACAAAACACGTTTTAGTATATTCTACGAGATATATCAAAACGATATTTTACTTCCAATAAATTTCCTATTTTATTTGTTTACCATTTACTATGATTCTTTATTTGATTAGTAAAAGACTAATAAAATAAAGTTCACAGTGTATAAATAAATATTCGTGTCTACCTATCTAACATTTAAAAAATGTGAAAGTTTTTTTATGCATAATAAATTAGTAAAACATATCTATTAAAAGCTTATATGGATAGTAGAATTTTATGTAACTCGCCTTATTAGGACAGTGCTATTTCTTGTTTAATTAATATATCTATTTTTAGGAATACCAACGATATAAGCATAGCTATATTGTGAGATTCATAACAAACAGTGAAAAGTATATATTAATGTAATATAAATAACAATAAAACATTTAAATTTTGTTCTGGGGTTTTTCAATATATATAATAAATTTACTATAAAAGTAATAATTCCTTTTATATTTCAGTGTGAAAATACATTATACGTCTTCATAAGGTAACAGGATTAAAAATAGGGAAAGAATATAGTTAAATGGGTTAAATATGTGATTCATAATTGATGCTTAATAAATTGTTCTGAATCATTTTATATTTTTCTTCACTATTGACGCACTTAGTGTTATTTTATGGTTGTGTGATGTATCTAGGCCAAATTATGGTTTAAGTTGCCTACCGCTGAAAATTAAACTAATAAGTCTATGAAATTAACTATGTTGTGAAGCGTTATTGTTTTCACCAATTCGTATTTAAAAGTACAATATACTACTTCAAATATATATATATATATATATATATATATATATATATATATATATATATATTGTTATTATAAAATAATTTCCACAGAAAGTTATTTTTACAATGCTCTGCTTTTCTTCATTAAGAGGGAAATTTTTCATGTCTACACACATAATGATTCAATTCAACTGAAATGATGATAGTTGCTGGAA